CCCGTTCGAGCAGGGCCGGGCCGAGGGGCAGGGCCGGGCCGAGGGCCGGGGCCAGGCTCCCCCTGGGCACAAGGAGCACATCTACGATGAGCCCGAGGGCCGCGCTCCCCGCTCGCTGCGCCCCCTCACCTGCATCTATGACGAGGCGCGGCCCACGAGCGAGGCCTGGCGCACCCAGGGCCACGACGGCAGGGGTGGCTATGAGTACCCCTACAACCCCAGCACTGACGATTACTCGGTACCCGCCTTCCCCGCCAAGGCCAAGAGCCCCAAGCCAGTGCCAGCCCCCAAGCCCCAGGCAGCCTTCATCCCCAAAGGGGCAGAAAGGCCGGAGGAGCCTGGCAGGCGATGGGCCGGCGCTGCTCCTGAGAAGGTGATCACCAAACCCAGCCTCAACAGCAGCAACAACAACAACGTGGAGGTGCTGTACAGCCAGGTGGTGAAGCCCCAGCAGCTGCAGAAGAAGGAGCAGTGTGTGGATGAGTACAGCTTGTCGCCTCTCTATGAGGACTTAGGGGAGATATAAGCTGCTGCTGCTCTGTGTCTGTATCCCAGCAGGGACTGGACATCCCAGTGCCAGCTGGGCTTCTCCCCAGGGTGACTTGGGGCTGTTTGGGCTCAGGCAGAGCCTCTTTTGCTCACCAGTGCTGAAGGGCTGTGTTTCCCTGGAGGGAAGAGAGGGCTGTGGCTGGTGTAATCCCCAGTGTGTTTGTCCAGCTCTGGAGCTGGCTCCACTGTGCCTTCTCATCTGCAGGAGGGCTGGTATTTTCCTGTACCTGCTGCTCTGGCTCTGCTCTGGCTTCCTGTCTGACCAGGCTGCAGGGCTCTGGTGCCTGTTGTGGTGTGTGGAAGGCTGCTCGCTGTCAGTCTCCAGAAGTATTTTTATACAAAGTTATTTTAATATTAAAGTCTGTATGTCTCAGAACAACATGTTTGCCTGTGGCATGGATGGGGAGGTGCAGGTGCATGTTTGTGTCTGTGCCAGAGCTACTGAGCTAAGAGGGAGCCTCAAAGAAAAGTGCCTGCCAGGTTGAGCTGAGGCTGGGTGCCCTGATGCCAGGAGATAAGGGAGAGTCACTCAGATATGTGATGACCTCCAGGCATAAGGCTGGGCAGGGACAGGCACCAGCTCTGCTGCTGTGTTGCAGCTCAGAGGCTGTTAATGAATCACAGGATCTCTCCTTCTCCAGCTTGATCCCACTGCTGATCCCTGCCCTGCTCCCAGCTGCTTTGGAAGGCCTGGAAAGGCCCAGTCTGGATCTCACTGACTTTAATTGCAAAATCTGTGATCCCTGTGGTGTGGTTTGGGTGACTGCTGTGTGGCCAGCCTTGGGCAGAAACCTTCCCAGTAAAAAACCAGGTTGTCCTTTCTGTGTGGGGCCAGGCCAGGCATGCTGGCATTGGCTGTCCCCATGTCTGGATGGGGCTGCTGGTGACTTGTGCAGGTTTAGCAGCCTGTTGCTAGTGACAGAACAGGCAGGTGACAGGCAGCACTGTGCTGTACCTGTGCAGAGGGCTAAGCACAACTTCAGCCCCAGCACAGCCAAACTGTCAGGGAAATGTGGAGGTTCAGGTCCCCAGGCTGGTGAGGTGGTGATAAAGGGATGAGCTCTGGTCATTTATCTGATGCCCAGGTTGCAGGGGGAAGCCTCAGTCCTGTAAAAATAAAGCTCAGCTGTGGCCAGGAACAATTTGTGGCTGTTCCCCTCTGCTGGGTGCTCTCCTCCACTGGGGTTTTGCTACAGGAGAAGGGAAAAAGTCTAATGGGTTTTGAGAAATCTGAGAGAGGAAAACTTTGTTTCCTCTCTGCTGCCCCATCCCTAAACCTGATTTTGTCAACTTTTATGTTGTTGACTGGTTTGCAGGCCCTGGGCTGGGCCATTTGTGAGTTCCTTCTTGCACCAAAAGATCTCTGTGCCTGCAGGGGTGTCTGCCCTGTCTTCCATGGCACCTGCCCTTGGTGTCTTGCCCCAGCAGATGCCTGATGAGATGCCAGGGCATGGGAAGAGCCAGCCCATGCCTTTGGGCCTGTCAGAGCTGGGATGCCAGGGGGAACAGATGGCTCTGATGGGTTTGTGGTGCCTGCCTCATGCCCTTGCTCACCCGCAGCTGTTTCCCAGGAAGCACAGCTCAGTGGTGGGATAGCAGTGCTGGATGTATCAGAAACCACAGGCAGAGAGTGAACTCCGTGGAGGATAACTTTATTTTGAAAGAGTTTTTCAGAACCAAGTAAGTAGAATACAAACTCTGCTGGTGCTTGGCATCGGGGGCTCAGTGAGAGCCTCCTCAGCTTGGTCAAGCTGCCTTTGGCTCCTGCTGTGCCAGGGGCACCTAAAAACCAGGCTGGCATGTGGGCAGGAATTCTCTGGAATTGCTCTGGCTTGGCATTTGCTCCAACCCCCTTCCATGAGCTGGGGCATTGGACAGCGAGGTCGATCTTGGAAGCAACCAAATCATCTGGGAGAGCAGCCCTCCAGGCTTTAAGATTAAATCCAAGAGCCCTGTTTCATTCCTGTTCAACCACCCCACTGAACCTGCTGCTGTGGGATGAGGGCAGCTCAGCACAATTGCCTGTCTTGTCTGATTTCCTCCCTGCCCTGCCTGCAGCTCTCCTGCCCCTGCTGACAGCGATGTGTGATCTGTGGCCTGTGCTAGTCCCATCTCAGAAACCCAAATTTGAGGCAGGTTGGTGACGTGTGCTGGCAAGAACAGGAAATACGTGGTGCTGCTGCTGCTGTAGGGGACAGCTGGATCTCTGGACAGGGGGTCCCCGAGCAGCAAACTTCCTGCAGAACTGGCTCGGTGACGAACACAACCGTGAAACAACAACAAGGAGGAACAAACGATGGGAAGTGCCTGTCTGACCAAGGCCAAGCTCGGTGTCTTGCCTGACCACATCCGGCCAGCTGCTGAGCCAGGACCTGTGGCTGCCCAGGGACAGGTCCTGGTGCTCACTGCAGGAACTCCTCGTACTCCTTGTGGAGCAGGGAGCCCTCGCAGGAGCCTTTCCTGGCTGCTGCTGCTGGTCTGGATGTTTGGAGGGGAGAGGGAGCCATCAGCAGGGGAGCCACTGCAGCTTTGGCTCTGCTCTGAGGCTGCAAGACAGCAAGAAAACACAAACCCTTGTGGGAGGAGGTGCTGGTTGTGCTCGCCTTGCTGGTTCTACACCCAGCCCCCTGCAGGAATCTGACCAGGAAGGGACAATCTGCTGGAATCTGACCAGGAGGGGACATCAGACCCCATCCAGGCTGCTCACACACAGGGACTCACCTGCCTGGGCTGGTGCCGCTCCGGGCGCTGCTCCCGGGGCTGGGGCTGCTGCCGGTGGGGAGGTTTGTACAAGGAACTCTTCAGGTATCTGTAGAGGTTGCTCTTCAGGTGCAAGGGGTTGTAAGCAACTTCCACTTCCAAGTTGTTCAGAGCGCTCTGCTTGGAAGAAAGAACTTGAGTTTGCTACAGGATGTGACAGGTGGAGGCTGTGGGGTTTGTGGGGTTTTTTTGTTTCTTTTTCAGGGACAGTGTTGTAGACACTCCAAGCCACCCTGCAGTGAAAGGTAAAGGGATTTTTGGCTGTGCTGCAACCCATAAGGAACACTCTTAGCCATGTACAGAAGAAGCATCTCCAAACAGATCTTAATGGAATTAAGCATTCCCTTGCAGGATGCAGTCCTACCCTTTCCCATGCCCAGAATCAGCCAACAAGCTGGAGCACCCCTTCTGGGTGCACTGTCACCCTCAACACCGCTTCCCAAGGCCTCTTCCTCCCAACAGACACACAACATTTCTCCAAAGGACAGGTGTTTGCTGTCCATGGAGAAAGCTGTCTGCTGGGGAGGAGTTTTGGAGTGCTCCATCACACTCCAGCTGTCACTTGACATTGTCACAGCCATTTCCTTCTCTCTTTATCTGCTGAGGTGATAATGAGAGCTGATAATGAGTGACTCACCTCGATGGGGCCCCTGACTCGATCGGGGTGCTCAGCCAGGAGGGCTGGGAAGGCTGATGGCAGCAGGAGCTCTCTGATGGCCACTGCTTTCACCAGGAGAGTGGCAGAGTCAGAGGGGATGATGACATAGTAGGGATGCACCACCACGTTCCAGTTTGGTACAGTGTTCTGGGGCTCATGCCTGGCCAAGAGCATCCACTTCCTTTTCTAAAGGGCAAAATCCCGGTGTGAACAACAGCAACAGCCACTTCCTTCAGCACTGTCACTGTGGGCTCAGGGCAGGCACACACGCATCAGGGAAGGGAAACTATTCTGCAGCAGGGCTGAGGACAGTATGGCATTTGTTTTGTTTTTCAGCATGTCAGTTCTTGAGAAAAACACCCAATTTTGGTTTACAGCTTGTCAGTAATGGCCAGTTCTCCACAGTGCAAGCCTTGATTAATTATTTTTGCTGTTAAAGTCACAAAAGTCTAGTAGTACAAAGCATTTGTACTTCATACCTCCCAACACTAATTTCTGGTAGGTTTGAGGGTCTCCTCTAAGGTGTGAAAAGCTGTAGCATCTTTCCAGCAGATGGAAGGATTTACAGGCCCAACTCTGGTCCATGAGATGAAGTTGCAGCTTTTAAAATGTTTCCTGCTGCAGCCAGCCAGATGTTACAAGGTGTGCACTCACTGTTCCTTTCCCTGGCCATCCCTCCCCATCACTGCAATTTTCACACACTCACCAGGAGACTGTGGCACAAAGCATGGAAGCTGTGCTGGTTTGTCTCCAGTTCATCCCAGTCCAGCTGCCAGCAGCTTGTGGGCTTGATGATGAAGGGCAGCCCATAGAGGACAGACTCACAGACCCCTTCAGACTTCAGAGCCCTGCCAGGATACAGCTCATCATTGTAAGAACAACTGCACAGCTTAGAAATTATACTGTTTTTCCCATAAATAAATCTCAGGAAAGAGATCAGCATCTCTGTGCTCTGCTCTGTGCCATGAACTGCTGCCAGGAAAGCAAATTCTTAGGCAAAATCACAACACTCTGAGGCTTTGCTTAGGCTCTGACATCTAATTAATTGCTGTGGCCTCATTAGGTAATGAGAGAGCAGAATTATTGCAATAAAACATTTCACTGGGGCGAAAGAACTTTTGCAAGAATGACTCCTGTGGTGTCACACTCATTGAGTGCTGTGGTGACACCAGGTGTGACCGTGGTCTGCATGTGGGGCTGTGCTGTTCCATGGGAGGAAGAGCGATGGATCTGGGGGTTTTTCACACCAGAATTTGGCTCACCAGCACTCCAGAGCCTCCTGGTGATGTCAGCAGGCCCCAGGATGATGCTACACAGGAAAGTGAAGCTTTTCTTACACCCTCTCCCAGTTAATCCAGTGGAAGACAAGAGCAGCACTCACTTTAGCACCCGGAGTTTGTGCAGAGCTGTGGATGGCCAGGCTGCCATGTGCCAGGGAGAACTGGGATCTGCTGCTCTCCCAGTGCCATCAGCTGTCCCTGAAAGGAGGGCTGGGTCCAGCAGCCTCTCCTGCAAATCACACTTCAGGCACACTGGGAGAAGGAGAATGGTTTTTGGCAATGTTTAGCACGTGACATGCTCAAAGCACTTAAAAATTAACATTTTCTGGCAACTCTCGGGGGAAGGGAAATACTAAAGCTTGCCACAAGGCATCAACCAGTCCTCAAGTCCCTCTGCAAGACAGCCTTTATTTAAGTGCAGCTCTGGCACAGAGCCTTTGTTTTGAATGCAATTTTTAGGTCTTTTTCAACTCTCAAGATGTAAAAGGCTCCTTTTTACCTTGACCACATGGCTGTAAATTCACATGCCCCTCCAGGCACATTTTTGCTGCAGAATGGAAAGGACTGCAGCCTCAGCAGCTGTGGCAGCAAAGCAGCAGCTTTCTAAGCCTGATGATTTTTCAAGTTATTCACAGACCTCACATCTGGGTCTCTAAAAGGGAGGGAAGGTGCCCATAGGACAATCCTGGGTAACCTTTATGGCTGAGGGATTCAGGAGCTCCTCCAAGGGGAGCAGAGGGGAGAGAAAATGAAATACTTAAGGTGTTCTTGGGTGCAGCAGCGTGGCCAAAACCTCCTGAGGGAAGGAGGAGATGGAGCTGTTCCCTCTCTGTGCCATGGTCATGGAGCCACGTTTTAAACAGCATCTCCAGGCTGATGACGTTGTCCTCTACAGTTTGCACCTCGATGTCCATTCCCAGGATTGCCATATCTGCAGGAAAAAGGTAAAAATAGGTGAAAAAGCAGCAATATTTCCAGCCATTGAAAAGATTTATCTGGTTTCTCATATACAGCAATTATTAAACTCGTTTGCTGGAGGTGCAGACAAATGTGATGTGATGTAGCAACAACTTTTAAGCATGGAGAAATGTCAGCTGGACAGCAGAGTTAGGCAGGGTATAAACAAAATAAACCCAAAAAAACCACCTCCAAACCATCCACAAATAATACCTCAAAGGTATTATTATATAGATGAGAAGCTAGTGTGAAGTCCATCAGATAAATAAAAATAGAATGGGATAAATACAGTGAAGGGAAAAAATAAATCAATTTACAAATTGCATAAGACACGCAATATAACCACTTGTAAACACAGAAGGTACAGTCTGGTAGCACAAATAGCTTTACCATGCAACCAGGATGTGGAAAGGCTTTCTGAGAAGATGAATAAATAGAAATAGCCTTTTTCCCCTCCTTGTGTTTACCAGGCCAGCAGGGGGATTAAAAAACAGTGCTACATCCATCCACACTGAGAAATCTTTTCTTTATGCATTAGCAATTCTAATGCCATTTGGCAAAAAATACACTTATGCATTAAAATAAACCAAACCAACCAACCCAAAACCAAAGAAAAACCCCTAGAGATGAATTAATTTCTAGCTGGCAAATAATCCAGGACTACTGTAATGATTGTAATTCTTTAAATGCTCTGCAGGACACACCTTTTGACTGTCCCCACCTCCCAGCCTTGAGGAAGAGATTATGTTGGTTGTGTCTCTGCAGCAAAGCAGACTCAACTCCCACTCACAACAGGAGATGTTTCACATAGCCCTTGCTGCTAAAAACCTTTCCTTATCATCTTCTCTGACTGTCCCTGGCTGTCATCTTCTCTGACTGTCCCTGGCTGCAAGGACATTTAATTCCTTTTTTTTTTTTTAGTTCTTTACTTCTTTTTTTTTGGTTATTTCTTCTATTTTAGTTGGAAGCTGCTTTTCATGAACTGCCCCTTGCCCTGACACTGAGCCTTGCTCCCACTTCCCTGCAGGATTCACCACTGCAGGATAATCCTGTTTTGGATGCATTCCCTGCAGATTTTAGACTTGGGCTTCTCTCAGGGATGTACACTGAAAAGGGCATTAACAGCTCAGAAGACAAAGCACCAGGAAATCCATGGAATTGACTTTTACAAACAGCAAAACACAGCTGACAAGGGAAATTATTTGTGTTTGGGGCTGGTAAATGCTTTAGTTCTTCCCTCAATAAATATTTCCCTGTTTTGTTGGTTTTTTTTTTATTTTTAAATTTTTTCTTCTGTAATAGATATTTAATCACACATCTGCAGCTGGCACAATACATGACAATTTTAAAAGAAATTCAGTGCATTCATTAGGAAAAACAGGTTGGGGTGCCACCATCTCCTGTGCAATGGGTCTCAAAGTTTCTGGAGAGCAGAGCCCACATAGAGAAAGGAGCCCTGGGACTTCCAGAAGATGGGCTGTGGTGATAAAAAAGGCATTAGTGATTCATCTGCAGGACTTGCTTTTTGTTTTTATCAAACAGAAATAGCTGGGACCAGTTATCTCCAGCACATGCAAATATTAACCTTTGTTAGCAAAAGGTCTGGCAAGGCTCAGCTGCTTTCAGGGAGTGTAAAGGGGCAGGGGAAGATAAATAATTGTAATTATTATAATAACTAAATCATGATAATGATAATGATAATGATAATGATAATGATAATGATAATGATAATAATAGTTCTCAGGTTATCAATTAGAGACCAGCCCATCCAAAGGCTAAAGCATCTTGTTGGTTACTCCCCCAGATTATTCCCACCTCAAATGTCCTGCTCTCTGTGGGGTTTAGTTAAATCAGTTTGCTCTGATTCTGAGATCTGAGCATGTTCAAAGCTGCTCTAAGATTTGCCAATGTGGGGCTTTCAAACCACTGAAGTATTTTCCAGCTGCACTCACCTGGGAATAAGCCTGTGGAGGGGATATCCTGATCTTGCTGTGGGTATTAAAAATGTAAGTAGGTTCAAATAACCCCTAAATAAACTAATGGAAGAAATATCCTCAGTTTCAAATGAAACTCTTGATTAAGTGCTGCATCACAATATTTATTTTCTAGTTCAACACAGCACTAATCTTGCACTTCCTGTGTGCTGGATCTTGCAAATTCAATGCTCTTTATTGTATTTTTTTAATAATAAAATGGATTTTTTTTTTTTTCTGAAGCAGAAGAAGGGAGCTCCAATAGGTATCAAAAACCAGTTGGGCTATTTTTTCCATTTATCTGACCTATTCATCCCCTGTTGCTTTTCTTAGAGACCAAATACTTCATCTACTCAGAAAATCAGAATTTCATCACTTGCCATGTCAGTGGCCTTTATGTCCACGTTTATGTTTTTATTCCATTTAATGGGTGAAAGAGCTACACAAAAATCCTCTTTTTATAATAATATGGTGGGGTTTTGCCTTCCCTAAAGCAGCCCTGTGACAGAGAGGCACAGGGCATCTCCTCCTCTGTGGACATGAGCCTTCCAAGGCCTCCCTGCAGGATTCCCAGTCTCTACTGTGATAATTTGTGCAGAACTTTGCTACTGCGACCACCCAAGAAAATGAACAGCAAGAGCTAGATAACACTGCCTGTCCCTCAGTAAAAAACAGAAATAACCCCTATTAATCCTCTCTCATTGCTGGGAACAGTTACTGTCACTCTCCAAGCCTCTAAATTAGCTGTTTTTCTGTCTTTGATACAGTTGCTGCTACTGCTGCTGCTTTTCTCCAGCTCAGAATGAGTTACCCACATAACTCCATGCCTTTTTCTCTTTAACCTCCCACAGTGAAGCTGTATCACACATGAATTTTAAATAACACCAAGAGCTGAAGTAATACCCGAGGTCTGTGAGTTCCACAAGCCCCAGAGAAGTGCTGTGAAGAAACTTCCTGCAGGCACAGCAATCCCACTGACTTAAGGGACATTAAATGGTGCAAAGGGAAGTGGCAGATGTTGGACCAGAGCAAGAACCAGTGGCTGCTGTGCTGCCCAAAGCTGTAACTTCCCTAAAAAAGCCTTCCACTCACCACTGCCGGGCTCCTCTGCTGGCACACACTGCTCCACGTCCTCAGGTTCCAGGAAATCTCTCTTCAGAACCTCAATGACCTGGATTCTTCGCAGGCTCACCAGGTCTACGTCTTGTAACTTCTTTTCCAGCTGCTTTACCATTTCTCTGCTGGGTTGGCTGGTCAAAATTGTGATCTGAAACACAGAACATGGAGAAGCTGCCTCTACTCCAATTCTCTCTTGAGAGGTGCTGATGTTGAGTAGCACTGGTCTCACTATGGAGAGAGGAGAAATCTTGCTGAAATATCTCATCTATTCCAAAGCAGATTTATAAGAAATTTTGTTTTTGAGCTTTGGCTCACATTTAAGGCAATATGAAATGGATTGAGAGGTTCACTGGAGGAACATCTAGAGGTTTTGTGCTCTGTGCTTCACATCACTGAGTCTCTGTGTGTAAAAAGTGACTTGTACATTAATTATAGTTCAAATAGACTAAACTTGGCCTTCTCCCTTGAAAGCTGAATGGGAATTTATTTATTTTTTTAAACATATACAGTCCATCCTGAAGATATTTCCAAGGAGAGCAGCAGTAGGCGTGATTCCCACCACCCAGCTTTGGTCTGATACTGAGACAAGGAAACAAAAAATTCAACTTACTCTGCATAAAAAAAAAATGCTTGTGATAGGGTGGGGGTGGAGGTGGAAATTGCAATCACTTAAGTATCTGAAGCAGAAAGAAACCTTTTTCTTGAACTTTTTGGCCTTTAGTAAAACTCCCTCCTGCCTGTCCCTGCAGCATGTCTTACATCCCCTTGCAAAAAGAAGTACAATGAAATTGCATAATCTAGAGGAACAAGGATTGCTTAGGGGAGTAAAAACTCCTTACATCCATGGATTAACTTAATTTTTAATGCAGCTTGTTCCTTCAAGTATACTAGAAAATGTCCTGGATTTTGTTGTGTGTCAAAAAAGGTTTTGTCTCCAAAGCATGCTCTGTTTGTTCCAACCTTTAGAGTTAAAGCACAAATCACCTTTCAAATGGTCAGGGGAAATACCTTAAAGCCCCAAGGAAAGCAGAAAATCAGTAGAAAAGTTTCCTAGATAAGACACTGGGAGTGAGTGTCAACTGCAGCCTGATCACAGTGTGACTCTGTGAGACTCTGGAAGGGTTTGAGGACCTAAACAAGGCAGAAAGGCTTGGCAAATTTCACTTGTGGGAATCTCAGTTTGGTTTTTCTGACTGACAGGTGAACCCTGAGCCTGGGAAATCTGAAATGCAAGATTGTTTGGAGCTGATATTTTCTGCTGTCCAGAGGAAAGCACCATTTCTGTGCGAGTCCTTTCCCCTCAATTTCCCCTGTCCTTTCATGTCAGTTGACACTGCTTAAAGAATATACTTCCTCCTGTGAACCTTGCTCTGCTTTCTGCATTCACATGTCTGTTCTCTTGTGTGATTATCAGCTTCCCTCCCCTTTATGCAAAACCACACATTCAGAGCTGAAAAGAGCCACCAATGTCCACCAAAATCTATCAGATTTCCCTAGATGTCTCCCCTTTTCCACAGGAATCTGTCCAGAGGGATTTGAGGACTTGGTATCTTCCTTCAGCATTTCAGTGGATCTCTGAAACAGCCAGAGTGCTGAATGCCTAAACCGTTCTGCCTGTTCACTGCACACGTAACACACATTTATAAACGTGCATTTATAAATGATTTGGGATGGCACCCACTCCCTCCACAGCATTTTCTTACCTCAACAGAAGTGTTTGTGGAGCCTCCTGCTGCCGTGTGCCTGCTGTACTGCTTGAACTGCTGCAATCCATCCTGCACAGCTTGCACCACTCCGTTCCCCCCCTGCGGGAAGCAGCCCTCAGCCGGGAGCGAGCGGAGCTCCGAAAGGCAGCCTTGAATTCGGGCAAAGTTTTCTTTCACTTGCTGCAAAACAGGGTTGAAGGAGCAGGAAAGGCTGGTGAACAGCACGAAATCCCTCTCCACAATGTGGAGGAAGGTTGGTGATCACAGAGATGTCAGCTCACCTGAGCCTCACCAAGAGCTCAGAGCTGAGACAGACCCAGCAGCTCACCTGGTTCATTGTGGCCACAGGAAAGATATGGAGTGAACTCTACTAAATTTATTTAGAGCAATACAAGATCCTGCTGCCAGAGGTCACCTTCCCACTGAAGAGGCAGCAGGTGAACACTTGACTTGTTTGCTTCAGGTGTGTGGAGCTCTGGTCACTGAAGCACCCCTGAGCCATGGTTTGCACAGTGGGCTTTCAGTGGGACTGAGTGGGAACCTGCAAAGGCTCTGCTCAGTCCTTACTCAGTCCTGCATTACATTTTTTTAGTTCTAAAATGCTGATTTCTTATCTTGTCACCATTTGCTCCCCCCTAAAATTATCTACTTGAATTCTGGCTGCTCTTTCTTTGCCCTCCCTGCCCTTTCCAGGGAAGCTTTATGGACTCTCCAGCTGGGTGGAGCAGTGGGAACAAAAACCATAAACAAGCACTGAGTAAAGATTAAAACCAGGGTAAGTGTGTGTGACACTTCCCCATGTACTCTCCCCATCTCTATTTTCAGTTCTGGGGCTTTCCTGACTTCATGATTTGTCTGACAAGCAAACACAGATCTGAAAAGCAGCTTCAGTACAACAGCTGATGTCTGCTATTGGAATGTAACACCCAAAAAACCCCCAGCAGAGTGAATACAAAGAACGGCTTGGAAATAATTAAAATTACTGTAAAAATGTTTTATATTTTTTATAAATTTTTATATTTAAACTTATTATTAAACTTATAATTTGTACTTGATTTACCAGACAGAACAGAGAAGGGGCCTACTTCTCTTTAGAAGAAGAAGGGATAAAATACAAGCATGTTTTTCAATCTAGCCAAAAGAATAATATACTATATTATATATATATAATATTATATATATATTAAGAACCTGCTGGAAGATAAAGCAAATAAATGCAAATTAGGAACCAGGTACAGGTTTCACAATGACAGTTATTAACCACTGGATGAAATTATCAAGGGAAGTACTTGATTACCCATCTTGTCTTCAGATCAAAACTGGATGGTTTTCTGGAAGGAATTTTTAATGACACAGGGGTACTTTAGTGAAATGTAATAGCCTGTGATATGAACAAAACAAAACACTGATCTAAGGGTTTCTCTGTCTTTAAAAACTGTGACAATCAAAATGAGGAATTGTTGTTTAAACAAAAAAGACAGCTGATTAGGAGCAGCAGTCATAAAATTATCCTTGTCACATTATCTATAACCTTTCCTACAAAATAAACACCACCATTAGCCAGAGTCTTCTTGCAGATCACATTTGCTAATTCACTCTTGACCTCTGTTTTTCTTTTTTCTTTCTCAAGATGTGAAGGCTTGCCAAAACTTTTCAGAATGTTTCCACCATTGCTGCATAAAGTGGAAGGGTTAATCCTGTGTGTTAACACTGATGTTGAGTAAATGGGAGTGTTCAGTGTGATTATTGTCTCTAACAAGGATGACTCAAAAATTCTTGTGAACTTTAAGATGCGTATTTGTATTCCCAAACTATTACTGCAGAGCTGCTACTCATTCTCAACCTACATTTATTCCTCTACAGAGCCCTAAACGAGAGCAATATTTGTTCTTACTGACTTGGATCTTTGTATTTAAAATCTGTGTGGATGTGGCCCTCAGGAACATGGTTAAGTGGTGGATTTGGCAGTGCTGGTTTTAGAATTTGATTTAGTCTTAGAGGACTTTTCCAGATAATTCTGTGATTCTAGGATGTTTCTCAAATTTAGCACAGATATTTTAACTCTGCACCTTTCCCCTTCAATATCTAGAACCTGTCACACATTGGTAATATTTGTCCAGTGTCCAAATTACTACAGCTGGAGCTGTGTGTGATAATTCCAACAGAGAAGCAGCACAGCACAAAAGGTGCTCCAAAACAGAAGTTTTAGGAAGGAAGAGCACAAAACCTAATTTATCAGGTTCACAGATCAAAAATGCCACTCCTCCTTTTAAACTTTATCCTTTCACAAAACTCACCGCGAAACGATCGCTCTGAGCGGGGCTGATTTTTAGACATAAATTTGCAGACAGATTTTTAGATATGAATTTAGATATAAATCATAACTTTTTTTTTTTCCTTTTCCTGGGGCATACCGTGAAGGGCAGCAGACACTCCTGCTGGGGCTGCACCACATAGAGGCTGAGCAGGGGCACCCGGCAGGGCCCTGCCAGCCCACACGCCAGGCACAGGACGTTCTCCAGAGCCTCGGAGAGCACGGAGCAAGTGTTGGCCCAGGAAGGGGAGGTGACATCCACCACCAGGATTCGGGATGGCTGCTGGCTGGGGGCTTTAGCAGCAGGAAAAATTCTCCGTGGTTCTGAGGGTAGTTTTCTGGAATTCATGGCTTCTGCACGTGGGCACGGTGATGCATCTGAAGGGGAGAAATAAATAAAGAACAGCAATGAGTGAGGCTCTCCCTTTCCCACTGGAAAAGAAAAATGATGTCCCATTGAAAGCACAGCTCAGTAATAATTTAGACTCCTACATCCTTTTTCTCCAAACCAATTGCTGTCCATACTCTGATAAACCCACACAAAGCGCATGTGGTCAGGAAACAGAGTGATTTTACTAATGAAAAATGCGGCAGAGAGGCTCTTACAGGAGCAGCTGGAGCAGTTTCAAACGCTGGCAGCTGTGTGAGGTGATCCCCTAGCCTGGCTCTGGTGCATCCCTCAGCTGCTGCAAAGCAAAACTGGGAACTCCACCTCCTAATTCCTAATTCTGCACTGGAGGTTGCACCCAAACCCTGGGGAGAACAGTTCCTGTTCCTTCCCCCCCAGCAGCATGAGATAAGTAACTGGAAAAGCCAAAAGAGCCAGCAGGATACAGCAAGAAAATCTTGCACATCCATGAATTTTACTTTGTGGGTGTGAAGAACCAACTTTTGTCCTTCAGAGTGTCAAACATCTGGGATGAGCTCCTCCACAGGCCTTGAATATGACATTTGTTCCCCACCCCATCTCCCTTCAGCATTAAGCACGAGATCATTTTCCTGTTAAAAAAAAATAAATTCCTCACTTTGTGAGCAAAGAGCCTTTCTAAAATCCCCTCTTCACTAAATCCATGCAAATCATTCAGTGCTGTTTCTAAAGATACAGGAAATACCTCAAAAAAAGAAAAGTGTTGGTATAACTGCACACACCTCCTCGATATGAACTAGGATATTTTTCTTCTTCCTACAGTTTTCTTCCCAGCAGAATTAGTAAAAGTTTGAAGAAAACCTGGATTTACACAGTTGTCAGAACCCAGGCCTGTCATTAGTGTGGTGTGTTCAGCTCACACAAACAGCTCTTTTATGGTCTCCAAGGAGACAAGATACTGCATTTCCTACAGCCTCCAGCACTTTGGAGTAAGAATTTCTGTGAGGCTTGGGAAGAACAAGAAGAGTTTCTATCTGGCTGAAGAATTATCAGACAAAAAAAATAATAAATCTGAATTTCTAGGATTCCTTAAGATGCCTGTCAGTGCAGGCAAAACAAGAATGATCACAGCCTGAATTTCAAAACTGAGGTTAACACTTCAAAGCTGATGAAAATGTAATAAATCAGGATATAGATCATGGAGGTATCTTGCTTTGATTAGTCCTCTGGTATAATTTGATTTTCAAATGAAAAACTGCCAAACACCACTTTAATCAGTGTCTCTCCTGGAGCTTTTCAATTTACAGCAGAGTTTACTCAATTACATCGCTGAATCTGGGAATGGACTTGTCTGTCTGAATTGTTTGTGATGAGGCTTCAATGCTACTGAACTCTGCAAGCCCCCAGAGCTTTCTCAAACAAGGAAACAAATCCCATCCTGTCAGAAATCCACAGGAGTTGGGCCTTTGCATTGGTTTCAGAGAGGAAAACGAGCTTTGATGCTGAAGCAGAGTTTTTCCAATTTCAACTTTGAATTCTTTCATTCTTGGCACTCTACAGGACTATGCTTATTTTAAATTTGTTTTGTTAAAATAGATCCCTCATCAGCTCCTTACCAACTGAATTTCTTCATAACTGTGGTGCCTTAATCTCTGCTTAGCAATATTAATGCAATTTCTATGCATCTCTCTGCACAATATTTGACAATATTTGACCTCTTTTATAGCTCTAGTGAGGCTGGAGAGAGGAGGAATTCTGTGGAAGTGGCTGCTGTGGTAAAATGACATCTTCATTTAGGCATTGACTGAGCCCATCCCAAGGGATCCCAGCACAATTCCGTGAGAATTGTGCAAACTGCGAGTTCTGGCAGCTGATTTGACATGAAGTTATTGCTCAATAAAACAGAGGTGTCAGGGTTGGTGATGTGCATTTTGCTCAATGCAAGGAGACACAAATTGTGCACAACTAGAAAGGGGCAGGGAGGAAATTTCTTTACAGTGAGTGATTTGTGACTGCTGAGGACATTCTGCAGTTGCACATCATCCTACGTGCTTAGTTTGTTATTTAAAATAAAACATTATTAAATAATATCCAGGTCTAAAAAGGCGTAGCACCAAAGCCTCTGGTTAAAGAGGATAAGGATAATTGGTTTAAAAAGGTGCCATTTTCAGAGTAAGCTTCCAAACCCTGGGAAACAGGAATATTCTCATGTGGAAAACAGATCAAGATGCATAAATGAGAGGGTTTACTTGAGAATAAACTGGCTGTGCAGTGTGCATGGCCTCTGGTGTGAATCCTTTTTTCCATCTAGTCTAGAAAGGAAGGTATTTGTTTAAAAAGGTCAGGATGAACAGAAGAATAAAGGCAAAAAAGCAAAAGAGTTCACAGAAAATCAAGCTACTGAAAACAAAATTATTCCAGACCCTATATAATAGAAGATATTATGTGTTACTCTGTTCATCAGTGCTATAATCAATCATAAATAAATGGCTTTAGACTTGTGCTTTTATTGACATAAAATCATCAAACCTTAGTGAGAATTGTCGCTTTATATTAGTGTTAAAATCACTCATTATAACCTTTATAGGTTTCTGTTTTTTTTTCTCAGAAGAAGAGGAACTATAACTGTAGGAGTTTAGAAAAAAAAGGCATTTTAAAACCCTGAATCACTAACAATGAATAAAAATAATAAAACCTTCACCAGGGTGTGAAGCAAGGACAAGATCCTGCAGAATTCCCAGGTGCTCCTGTGGAGGAACAGCCAACTCAAACCCCACCACGAGAGCTGTGTCATCAGGGTACTTGAGTGACAGGCTGGAATTCCCAGAATTAAACTTTATAGGAACTGTAATAACTCTGTGATCAGATTATGGGCACGGCTAATGAAGCCTCATGGGGCAGGTGCTCCATCTTCCCTGGCATCTTGATTAAGAATCTGGGATGACACCGTGTCAATACACACACACTAACCGGATAAAAACCTGCATAATTCATGGGCAGAACATGCTGCAGGCAGAGGGAATCACCACTGAGGCTGAAAATCCTGGGATACACCCACGTGCTGGAGCAGCCTGGAATTCTCCTCCAGCTCCCTGCATTTCCATGGCTCCTACAACCTGAACTCTTCTACCCTGGACGTGACCTCGAGTCTAAAGTTTCAGTCTTACTGTGACATTTCCATATTCATATTTCCTGTCCTGTTTTGGGGTGTTTTTTTTTTTAAAAGCTTTATGCACTCCCTCACTCGTGGCTGGATCCTGGCAGCAAGGA